TAATAAACAAACAATAACAATTATACATATCGTTACGATTATGTCGCTGGAAAAAAAAGTTTTAGATAAATAACTATTTTGCGTTTTCTTGTGACACTTTATTCTCCAACAAATGCTGGTATGAAACTAAAGAGACTGTATAGGCTATTTGGAATTCAAGTGAGATATCATACAATTTTTATTAAGTGCAATGCTAAAAATATAAAAATCGATATGTTTTAAGATGCTTGACTCGACACAGATTCAAACGTATTTAGTTCATGTTATCATAGTATGCTTCATTAATTCAACCGACACACTTATCAATTGACATTGCTGTTGCTGGCAACTTTATAATACTCGATGGGAGGAAGGTTAACAGAGGTATGGGTAAAAAAGGTTTTGTTGGGTCTGGAGCAGCGCGTGGAACGAAAAGTTGGAGGGGAGTCACAAAAGTTTCTTTGAATCGAGATTTGCATGTAATACGTGGAACGTCTTTCTTACGGGGGAGTAATGTCATTTCCTTCGAATTTCGCCGCACATCCTGTTTTGATGATTCGGATCTTTCGGAATATTTTGGGCTATCGTTGATTTATTTTTTTGGTACTGGCATTAATCGCAGGATAATATTCTTGATACATTGGTCATTAGGATTTTTTACAAAATTTTATATATCAATCCAACAAATGCCATAAATTAAGATTGTACAACCATTATTTAGCTTGAAATTTATTCGTACAAAAATGTGTATCAATCAAAATCTGTAAAAATGATCAATAACATGGATTATGATTGCACATAATTAAAGAGTACAATCCGAGCATTGCCTCTATAATATGTAATATTAAAGGGTAATTGCACACGCTGGAAACCGTAACCGTATGAAAGAAATTTTCGATTTATCATAGGGTAGCATCAACATTAAACGTGAAAATACTGTTTAAAGTGAAATTTATAGAAACTCGTTTAAAATAACGCATCACGCGAAACGTCAAAGTCCTTTTACGGGTTTCACATACGGTATTTGCAGAAATTATTTTCATTTCATTAGAATGAAAATTTTGTTTTGAGAAAAAATTAATCGAAACTTTTATTGCAATAATGCATTTAATGGTTGCCGTAAATATTTTCAAAGAGCAAACAAGAAAAAGTAAAAAAAAGTTTGGCTCTCGAGAGCAGAGCGCGATAGAGCTTTTGCGCGTCGTACTTACGAAAACGGTAAGCATCGGCAGAGGAAGGGAGAAGCTCGAAGCTTGCGACTTGTCGTATCTTTTTTTTTTTTTTTTTTTTTTTCACGCAAGTGGGCCGCAAGTTGGAACGTGAGAGTGTCCCGGCGCTTTGACCTTCGTTCAGTTGCAATTTTAGATATGTTTATTTTTAGCGGTTCAAGAGTCATTATCTTGTTTAACACGATTGGGTCTTTAAAGGTTATCGAGAGTACGTGTAATAAGGTAAAGCACGATTTTTGGAGGTGATTCCGGCACCTCGTAATGGCACCTCTTCATCTGCCAATATTAATTTAGGTAGTCGTTGTATACTTATGCGTTAAAAACTTAAAGTTGATTACTATAGTTAAAAGAAACTATCGATTTTCCTTTTACGTTTTATGTACCAAGTGTATTTCAGTCGACGCGGATTAATTCTCAAAATTAGAGCAAAGCTACATTTAAAAAAAAAATTTTTTCCTCCGTATCAACAAACTTTGAAATAGAGCCGGCTAATAATAGTATTTTTATTTTTGTACCAACTGGCCCCGAAATGTAGGGAAATTTCGAAAAAAAAAAAAAAAAAAAAAAAAATATGCATAGTTCAGCTTGCAAATCCCAAGGAGTTTAGTTGAATCTTGAACAATTATTGAGAAAAATTAATGACTTTTTCGATATCTTACATCTTTCGTTATTTCTGATCTTCTTTTTATCAATTTGCTGCTTCAATTTATTATACTGCCTGAAAGTAGAATTTACAAGAGTGTTTGTGTTCGACTGAATTTTGTTCGTCACATTGACTTGTTTAATTGTAAATACATCTTTACTTGTGTGTTTGTCCTCTAAAACACTTAAAAAACTTTGTTAATACATTCTTCGAGAAATTTTTTTGTTATTTTGTTGTAAAGTAATTGTTATAACTCTTTTATTACATACTATGAATACATCCTAATTCTTATTAAAAAAAAATTGCAGTAATAATTCTAACGTTGTTAACGATTCGATAGGCATATTATACATTGTAATTGTGCCTTACCAAATGGTAAAAATCCAAAAGCATCAATTAGTTAACGAAAGTGCTCGTGGGCGTATTTACACGTACAATATAAAGGTATAGTTACGCTCGAAAATCGGCACACGATGCAGTGTTTACCTTCTAAAAATACATCACCGACACCCCGACAGTTCGAAAATGTGACGTAAGTGTACTGTATGGTCGGATTTTTCAAGCGTTCAAAAGACAATAGAGACGACAACGTGCAACCGATACAACGGCACCGTTGTCCCTCGTTCCTCGAAAAAGACGAAACGAAAAAAAAATTCGCGGCTCGGCTTTCTCGTCTCCCCTCGTTTTTCCGCGAGGATATATTATACACACATCCTTTACAAGCACGACCAATGTTCGAGAGCACCTTCTCGCGTGCCCACGCTCGTGCACACATTGCATCTCGTTTGGAGTCGGGTGTACGTATAGGCACGCATTGTATGATAAACTTGCGCTACTTACTCTTGTCCACAGGTACAATGTGCATATATATGTACACGAGAGGGCATGCATCGATTTTGCAGGGGATGGAAAAACGTTTGTTTCAAATAATGGATGGGAGATTTCTTCTATTTTTTTTTTTTTTTTTTTTTTTTTTTTTTTTTTTTTTTTTTTTTTTTTTTTTTTTTTTTTTTTTTTTTTTTTTTTTTTTTTTTT